TTGTAATATTATTATAATGTTGTGTGCTATCTGTCAGGCCCACTGAAGGCTCGTCAGTAGATCACACATGCGCTGAAGTTAACTAACCCTGGAACAGAAGCTGCTCCGGAGCAGGTTATCTTTAGAGAGCAAGTTGCTATGGTTACTTACATACCCTGAAAGTAACCTCCGATTTTGGAAACGAAAGCTGAGGTTATCCGCTCGCTTATCCTCAAACATACCCGGGTATGTCTCATAACCTGCTTTTTGGAATACCCCCGTAAGCTAAACCCTGAACTTTCGGTTGATTAACCCCAAACCTTGCTTACTTGAGGTATGTGGTTCCAAAAACGCATCCGGGAGTAAGTTCATTCAACTCAGGTGTATGTTCCTGGTTAAGACTCAAGACATTCTCGACAGAGCGAGGAATCAACGAGTCACTACGGAAACGGACGCTAAGAAAAAGTGCGCCATGCTGTTTCTTTCTTCTTCTTTTGTTCAATGGTGGTTTACATGCTTAGTGCATATCGCCACCTAATCGATGGTTGTGCAAGGAATACCCCCCTGAAATGTTTGTCTTTTCATCCTGAAATGCGAGGCACATGTTGGATCACAATAATTAGGAACCACAGTTTCCACAAATCCCTTCACTCGATTGGGATGTTCTCTTTTATTCTGGACAGCAAAAGCAGTGACTGTACCATCGAGCGTATTTTGCAGTATTAAACACGTATTTATACCAATTTCATCAGGCTCCGAAAATTCTTCAAAAGAACACAAAGAATGGCCTTCTCAGCTGCCATAGTTGCAACTCTTGCGTCATCAGAACAGGGTGTTCAACACACCACCGTTTCCCTTTAAAAAAGTTTTGCAACGTTTTGTCGGTGCTGAACGCAGCCCAGCTGAGAGAGTTTTGTTAGATTCAGGAGAAAGGTGTGCTGTTTGTTTAGATCGGGTTCATGTTATTGCGTAAATATTGAGTTTATAGCCAACGTACAGTTACGTTGCAAATCAATTTAATGGCGCAACGCTCAGTATTTTGCCACCACAGTTGTCAAAAAATAAGTTCTTTCTGAATTCTGAAAGCTTACGCTGTCTGAAGGAGATCCCATCTAATTCATTATAGTTATAAAGTAACTGCAGTTATTATATTTTTGTGTTAAACTGTAGATCCTGTTTTTAATAAACAAATAATAAAATGTGGAGCACATAAGGGGACAAAATGGGAATGAATTACTCGCAAAACTTATTCTCTTGCAAAAGTAGGCTAGAGTATTAATTCATTCATTTATTTATTTTATTTTATTTCGTTTTGTTTTATTTTATTTTACTCCCATCTCTTCACAAAAGGTTTGCCAGCAAACTGATAATTTCTCACGGGAACGCAAAAGGTTTGCTAGAGTTTTTACAAAAGTATTTTTTTTCTCCCACCTAATAGTTTTTTCCTATCACCAAATCCCTTTAAGGGCCCCGGTAAATACAAAATAATATAAATAATCTTAATTATTTAGGCTCCTATAGAAAGATTCTAAAAAGTGCAATACAAAAAGTAAGTCACAATCACATACTACAAGGTGTTTACATTTTTTTAAATCAGTATAAACGTTTTGCTTGCATGTAAGACATTTAAGTAGTAAATTCAGCCATCTACAGGAGACATCGAGGCACTGCAGTGACATTCTAGTTGATTTGCTTGTCTTACATCAGGGCTGCCCAACCCTGTTCCTGGAGATATACCTTCCTGCAGAGTTCAGCTCCAAAAATCTTTAATCCTTGAGAATATGAATTATATTGTTTGTTTGATGCTAATTATATATTAAGTAATATCAGATATTTATTTTGATTTAGAATTTAGACATTATAGAAAATGCCGATCCATGTGTGAGATGATAATATAAAATGTAATAAATAAATATATATATAATAAATTAAACATTACCTTGTCATAGTGTTTTACAATTTATACAGATAACCCCTGATCAAACACAACTGAACCAACTAATTAGGATCTGAAGGAGCACTTAATAATTACAGATAGGTGTGTATAAATCTTTTGTAACAATATACACTAATGTTCAAAAGTTTGTGGTCAGTATTTTATTTTTTATTTTATTCTGAAGGATCATGTGTGACACTGAAGACTGGAGTAATGATACTGAAAAATCAGCTTTTATCACAGGAATAAATTAGATTTTAAAGTACCTTCACTGAGTTGGTTTTTGTGGGGACTCTCCATAGACCATTTGTGAGCAGACGTCACAGTTACACACTTGCAGCTGTGCACTCATTGTGGTGGCAGAAAAACAGTGGTAACAAGTGGATGGAAATGGGAAAAATCCATGGAATAAGAGAAAAAAAATGTCTTCTTGGGTCTTTGGATTTCAAAATCGGAATGCAAAAAAAAAAATTTACTTCGAAAACTTTTTATAGAATACCGTCGTCAAAGATGCCCTATGAAGCTAAACGCAGATGTTCATGGTTGCAAGCCACAGACTGGACTGATGAAATCTGAATTAAGTCACTTTAACCATTATATTGCTCCACTCTGCTCTTTCTGTCAAGAGGAAGAGGAATCTATTTCACATTTATTCTACTTTTGTTCTTATTCTAAACAATTCTGGCTTCAAATATCAGTTTCCTTACTTCCTGTGTGTTCCACCAGCTGTGTAATATTTCCATAAGTTAATTCTTTTCCATTCTGATGTTTCTGACAATAAGGAGTTAGATGATGTTTTAAGCTGATGATATACATGCAGGGCAACTTTTCTGAGCAAGGTTGTGGGTACTTTCCCATTGAGAATGGGTAACAAATTTCTGTCTGGATACTTTAGATCAGTCGTGGGCCCTGTGTCTCACTTGTTGCCCGTTGACGGCAACATTGCTCAAAAAGTTGCCCTGTGTGTCATCAGTCTATTTGATGGGTAAATATCATTTAAAGCAAAATACCTTCAATTTAAACCCAGCTGCACAGTATTTGCTTCTGATCTACATTTATTATTGACTCCACTTCAGAAAGTCTCCTCCAATAAAAATGCTTTGAAGACATCTCATAAAAAAAATAAAAAAATAAAAAAAAGGAAACCTGAATTTGACGTAAACAATAGGTCTACATAAGATATAAACGTATGCAATTCATATGGGAAATACTGTAGCCTATTAGACCATTGCATGAAATCATATTTTAAACCTATATTTTATATAGATGATTTAAACGTATATCATTTTAATCTCCCAATTCTGACTTTTTTCTCACAATTGCAAGTTTACGTTCCCAGATTCAGCCATTATAACTCGCAATTCCGAGTTTAGGCTATTTCGTGCTCACGCACGCAGTTCTGATTTTTCTTCAGAACAGTGAGATGGCCTATAAACTCGAAATTGCAAGAAAAGGAAAAGTCTGACTTGTGAGACAGAAACTGGAAATTACACATGGCTTCCATAGACTGCAACTGTCATTTTCTCACTGATCAGTGCATTTTCTGCCACCCCCTACTAACCCTATACCCCAAAATCCGGCCCATCACAGAAAGATTTATGCATGTTTTGATTTAAAAACAAACAAAACATTTTAGTAGCCTATGTTTTTAAGCCATTTGATTTGTGAGGTCACAGTGTCCTCGCAAACATAGGCTAAATAGGCTACATCTGAAATTGTCAAATGATTATTTTTTTATTTTATTTTTTTTGCTTCTTGTATGACCCCTGATACATTCAAATGTTTAAAAAGAAAGAAAGCAGAGATGAATGTCACTCTTTTCTGCCACTAGGAATCACACAAGCTTCAGTCTGATCCAACCCTTATGAAGATCTGAGATGACCGAACACCTAAGAAAGAGATGATGCCAACCCTGAACCAACATAGGCCTACAAAACTACCAAACTGTGCTATAAGTTTTAATTGCAACATATAATCATTGCAGTTCACCGTCTGTTTGATTACAGGCCATCAACTGCATGATTTCTGCCATATAGTCACCAACTTGACATAGTCACCACTGATAAGCTACTAATAACTATAATGTAGAAACTTTAATTTTCTGTAAAGCTGCTTTGCAACGATTTGTATTGTGAAAAGCGCTATACAAATAAACTCGAATTGAACTGAATTTTGCTTCCACAGGTCTCGTGTTTGTAAGATGCAGCACCCCCTGTTGACCGCTATTTTTCTTAGATACTGTTGCTAACAACAGTCAACCTTCTCAACCGGAGGCAGACGACTAAACTCACCTGAAGAGTTATAAAGGTAAGGTAAGACTTTATTTACCCAGTTCGTTAGTGAACACGACACAACAGCGTAAATAGTGGTTAAAAAATTAATCCCTTAGAAACGCATTAGAAATGCATTTTAGTCACAGAAGTGTTAGGAAAAGGTACGGTGGCGTCTGATAGGGAAAATCTTTCTCTGTCACTTTCCTCGTCCTCTGCTTCATATTCATTAACAAACATCTCATTTAAATTATTGTTTTATTATTATTATTGAAAGGCCTCTGTTTTTTTTATGAATCGTTCTGGGGTCGCACCACAGAAGACAGGCGCATTGCTGGGCAGATCAAATCATTTTACAATCAGTGAAACAAACGTTTCATGTACGATACATGTGAAATGTTTTGTTCGTACTGTAAATATTTAGGTTAGACCATATTATTTTATATTAGCCTACTTGTACCCCATATTTTCTATCCACCTTATTTTTTCACATACACTCTAAAAAAATGCTGGGTTAAAAAATATAACCCACCGCTGGGTTAAAAAAGGACAAACACAGCTATTGGGTTGTTTTGATCCAGCGGTTGGGTCAGCTATTGGGTTGTTGTGGCCCAGCGGTTGGGTCAGCTATTGGGTTTTGACCCAGCGGTTGGGTTGTTTTGACCCAGCTGTTGGGTCAGCTATTGGGTTTTGACCCAGCTATTGGGTTGTTTTGACCCAGCTGTTGGGTCAGCTATTGGGTTGTTTTGACCCAGCGGTTGGGTCAGCTATTGGGTTGTTGTGACCCAGCGGTTGGGTCAGCTATTGGGTTTTGACCCAGCTGGGTCAAAACAACCCAATAGCTGGGTTTGTCCCTTTTTAACCCAGCGCTGGGTTATAGTTAACCCAGCATTTTTTAGAGTGTACAAGCGGCTGCTAGTTGTAACTTAGAAACACAATTTACTAGATAAGTTAAAGATTATAAATTTTTTTTATTTATCAAACAAATGATAGGACTTGGTGACCGTGACATTTTTTTGTCTGGTACTCGTGTTTTGTGTTTATTAGCCTATTCATAATTCAAAACTTCTGTTGTTAGCCCAGTGTTGCATTCATTATGTCTGGCGGGGGGTCTCCGACCAAAGTTGGCTTTGACAGCAGTGTCGGTGAAAGTGGTATGCAAATAAAACATTGTAATTGATCATTAATAATTACGCATCATGCAGATGAATGTTCTTATGCTATCAGTTGTTTGTGTCCAGATGAGACAGATCTACAAAAAGTACACCGACTGCGGCTGGAGTTACGCCGACTGGAAAGAAATCGCGAGCTCTACTTGCAGGAAGAGGAAGCGTCACGCAAACAGCGGTCAGTTCCACGATCCCATTTTCAAGAGCCATTTTTATTAACCCTCTGGTGCTGTTCGGTCCGAAAAACATTTTTATTTTATTTTTTTACTTCATTTGAATGGTACAACACTTGGTAGAGGTTTTGGCACTTGCTATGACGCTCAAAAAGCAATGGTACCGTGGCTCCATGGCCAGCCCATCTATGCCCCCATTGCCTCAAAGGCATCTTCTCAAGCAAACCCTTTACTATATTCAGGGTCTTTTTCTGAAACTAAGTTGAGCTTTATTGTCATTCCGCTACATGTGGGGACATACAGTGGAACGAAATGTCGTGCCTCACCGGACCACAGTGCTACATAAATACAGGCATACAACAATGAAGTAAAACAGTATAAACCTATACACAACTAACCTACTGACAGATTTTGACTATAAATATACTATATATAAATGTTTACCTATACATAAACTAAAAAAAATAAAAAATACAAACTATACGAATGCTTCACATAATACTGGACCCGACAGGCTTGCAGACCTCTAGTACTGCGCCCAAACAAACTCTTACTGAAAGTTCACATTTTGACATTTCAACCTCAAATTTGGAACACAATTTGTTTAGATTTATGTCTTTGATTTTCTTGCAGTATTAGAGTAAAACGTGTTTTGGAAAAAAACAAATATTTCATATAAAATATAAAAATAGTATATTTGGGCATTTTTCATAATAATGAACTTCTATAACTTTTTTCACTTCAGCAATAATCTGCCAAGTGTCTTCTTTAAAAAAGAGACCAAAGTATGAACTCCAAAGCATATTAATAATAGTATTAATACACATACACACAAACAGAAAAATAGTTTACTGACACTGACGAAACTAAACATACATGAAGTAAAGTGTGTGTATATATATTCGTAAAAATGCATTGGTTTTCTCTTAGGAGTAGACTAGTTATGATTTATCAGTAGATGCCTATCATTTTGCACAACAGTGTTGCATTATGTATATTTACGACATTGTGTCTTGCTGTGTTTGAGTATATTTTAGTTTTTGTTGTTTTACTTGTGTGTGCATGTTTGTCCACAGGCAAGAGATTGCTGAGCTGCGTGCAGAACAAGAGAGGTTGCTGCGTGCGCACAGAGAGAGTGAAAGTCCGGCTGTTAAGGCTGTCAGTGCTCTGCTGAAGCAACGAGACAAGCTGGATGAAGAAACTGAGAAAGAGAAACAGACCCAAGCAGAGCTGCAAAAAGAAGTGCATATGTGCCTAAGTATTGAACATCGTCATGAAACACGCTATCATACTGTACGACAGATAGTTATTTGCATACATTCGGTTTACAGATCACGATTATGGAGAAAAAACTGGTGGAAATGAGAAGAGGACAGGCTTCCCATAGTCACAAGTCTCATCCCCGCGACATTCAGAAGGCCATACGCACCACACAGAGCAAACTGGATCGGGTAAACAGAGAAACAGTAGAATTCAACAGAAATAATCTAAATGAAAAAAAATAAACATACCAAGTGCATGAACTTCTCCATTATTTTTTCCCCTTGTCCCTGCAGTCTCGTGCTCACTTTAATGAACAGATGAAGATAAACAGCCAGCTCAGAAAAGATATTGAGCTATTACACATGCAGCGTACCCGATTTCAGCAGCTGTATCGCAAATTGGAGAAGGTTGTGGATTCTGGGCAGCTCTGGAGTGTTGTGTATAATGAGTTTGATACTTAATCGGAACAGATTTGGAGAAATTTGGCATCACATTCCTTGCTCACCAATGTATCCACTGTACTAAATGGGTGCCGTCAGAACGAGAGTCCAAACAGCTGATAAAAACATCACAAGTCATCCACATGACTCCAGTCCATCAGTTAACATCTTGTGAAGTAGAAAGTCAGTAACAAATCCCTCATTAAGACCTTTTAGCATTAAACCATCACTTCTAGCCAAAATCCTTAATAACGCCTCCTTCAGTGAAAAAGTCCATCCCCTGTTGTTTTTATCAGCTGTTTAGACTCTCATTCTGATGGCACCCATTCACTACAGAGGATCGACTGGCGAACAAGTGATGTAATGCTAAATTTCTCCCAATCTGTTCTGATGAAGAAAGAAACTTCATCTTGAGTGGCGTGGTTGAGTCAGTTTTCAGCAGTTTTTCATTTTGGGGTGAACTATTCCTTTAAAACAGGTGCTGCTTATGTCTTTCTTTCAGGTACTACAAGACATTCGTAAGGATATTGCTGAAGTTGTCGACAAATCAGCCACAGCTTATGATGCGAAGTGAGATACTTTGAGATTTTAAGCTACCTTTCTAATACACAGTGTTGCCACAATCATAAAAAACCTGGAAATTTCAGCAAATTTTGACAAGATTTCCAGGCCATGAAACTAGGGTTGAATTGAAATGTATTGGTAAAAAGTGTGTAAACACTGCATAAAATCATGTGTTGGACAACATGAAATGGGATTTACACACTACAATGTTCATGCAGTGTTATTTTAGTATTATTTATCAATTGTTTTAGTTTTTATTAATACATTTAGATAATTTAATATGTTTTTAATAGTTTTAGTTTCATGCTTCCATGGCCATTTTATGTAAATGTAAAGTAATTTTTAATAAAACGAAATGCTTGTAATTTCTGTGCATCTAGCATCATCAAACATAAATGCAGAAGGTTTCCCAACTACTTTTTACAGAGAAAAACAAACACATCACTTGTATTAGAAAGTTATCATTTTATATGGTAGTATAAACTGCTCTTCCCATTAAGTCTTTTGGACATTTGAAGATGGTTTTAGTTCTCTGTGTGCATTTCAGAGTGGATGCTCAGACCAAAGCATCCATGATAAAGGAGAAGGCGGTGAAGGATCTTGCACAGTACTCAGCTGAGATGCAGGAGCTGGAGAGAGTCATCGCTCATGAGCACCGACTCAAAGAGTTCATGAGCACCAAGAATAATCAGAGAGCCTCCATGGATAACGGGAAAAGAACCAGACGCAGACAGGGTCAGAGAGCAGTAATTGTAATGATTGTTTCATAAATCGAAATGTATTTTAGCTGAAAAGTTAACAAAGTGTGCTGATGGCAGAGATGAAGGAGCAGAGGAAGGCAGACGGTGGAGAGGAGACACCTGACTCTCTGAAGAAGGCTTTCCAGCAGATTCAGGAACTGACTGGAGAAGATAATTTGGGGAAGCTGGTTACAAAATTCATTCAGGGTGAGCTTTGTGTTTTCTGTTTTGTGCTAACAAAAGATTGCAGTGTGTTATGCTACGACTGATTGTGTGTGTTTTTTTTTAACAGGTGAAGAAAGGAACTTTGCTCTGTTTAACTACGTGAATGAACAGAATGCAGAAGCTGAGAGACTGAGAGAGGAAATCCATCAGGTCAGTGTCAATGTTTCTCATTTTTGTTTAAGCTTTTTTAAGTTACGATTTTTTCACTTAATTAACGGGAACAGATTTGAATAATTTTAGTTTTAGTAAACAATAACAACTTGAAGACCAAGTTATTCATATTTACATTTTAATATCATTTTAAACCCATTTTTTGTCTTGATGTTCTTCTAGATTAGAACAGATACGGAGCAGTTGAACATAAAAAGTCGTCAGCAGGAACAGGAAAGTCAGGTGGCTTTAAAACAGCTGAAGAATCAACTGCAAGAGTGTAAGGCACAGACTCAACAGTATGAAGTCCAGGCTGATCACATCAGCAGGATTCTTGATCAGGTCAAAACAGGTACTAGCGAAATCAAAAACCCTGGACGAATCAAGACCACATTATCATATTGGAAGAAGAATATTACTTATATGAAACTTTTATTATTCTCAAAATGAGCAGTTACCTGTCATTTCTAGGGTTAGACAGTATATTCAAAAAGATTGACTGCAACCTAGGGCAGATGGGAGGCATGCTGGGCTCTTCCTCTGGGATCACAGACAGTAATCTGATGACGTACCTCGGCATGGTGGAGCAGAAGGCCAGTGAACTGCTCACCATTCAAGCCTTCATTAAATCTAAGGTACAGAAAAGACTCCATTCACTCCAGCATACATTTAAAAGTGGCACATCATGAAAATCTGACTTTTTCTGTGTATGAGTGCTATAATTGGGTCCCCTTATTATAATATTACAGCCTCAGAGGAGACAAGAGAGCAGTGGATTTATTGATTTATTTAATGTGTATTACACTGCTGCCACACAGATCTAATATAAACATGCAATTTCTTTCCGGGCTGTTTACCTTCACAGATGTAACAGACTGTATTTGTAACTCATGTGTGTTTTTAACATAAACTTGTGTGTATTTGATGGTTTAAGTGCAATAAGAGATGAAAGAGAACTTAGTTTAGTTACTCACATGTCGTGTGACAGCCGCTTTCTGTATGCGTGCTTCGGATGTGTTCACTCAGAAAAGTTAATATGGTTTAAAACGCATAATTTCAGCACAACAGACATGATAATCAAAACAAAACAGATGTTTTTTAGCAGAGTATCTGAGGTAAGAGCTGTAAAGGCACAGCCCTATAGACCAATTTGGAGTAGACGTCACAGTTATGTCACTTGCAGCTGCGCGCACATAGTGGTGGCAGAAAAACACTGGGAACAATTGGAGGGAAACGGGTAAAATCCATGGAATAAGAGAAAAAAAATGATTGTTGTGCCTTTGGATGTCAGAATCGGAATGCAAATAATTTTTATATAATACTGTCGTCAAAGACGCCATTTGAAGCAAAACGCAGACGTTTAAACGGACAGACTATGGATGAAACCTGCTATGATTACCGTATTTTAAAGCATAAATTTGATTTAAACAATAGGTCTATATAATATTCATATAGGGGACATATTGTATTAGCCCTACAGTTGAAATACATGCATGAAATACTATTTAAACCTATAACATTTTACATAACATTTACCTATTTTATTTCACAATTCTGACTTTTTTCTTGCAAATGCAAGTTTATATCTCCTAGTTTGGACTTTATAACTTTATTCAAGTCAACAATTGAGAGTTTGTCAATTCTAAGGGGAAAAAGCCAGAAGTGTGGGATTATAAACTAAAAAGAAAGAATGACGAGTTGATTTTTCTTACCAGAATTGTGAGATATGATCTCGGAATTGCAAGAAAAAAGTCAGAATTTTGAAATATAAACTCAAAATTAAGTTTTTTATTATTTTATTCCATGGCTTGAATTGACTGCTACGTTAAAACTGTGATTTTGTGCCACCATATAGGCTCCGCCCACTAAAAACGTCATCACTGTTTGCGAACACTGAAATTGGTCTATTCTGGAAAAGGGGGCGGGGAGCAGCAGCTCATTTGCATTTAAAGAGACATGCACAAAAACAGCCTGTTTCTGCTTCTACTCAAAATAGGCATTTTCAAACATGATAAATGATCTGTGGGGCATTTTGAGCTGAAACTTTACAGACACACCTGAGACTTATATTACATATTGTAAAAAGGGGCATAATTGGTCTCCTTTAAGATAATGTACCTACAGGTTATTTTTATAGCAATTTTGTGTTACTTTAACAAATATAAATAAGAAATACAAAGCTGTGCATTAGATTCTACTATGGTCAAATAAAAAGTATTGCAGGTAAAATACAATTCGACTACCAGAGAAAAAAAAAAAAAACTCATTCCTCAATTCATTTTCAAAAAAATAAAAATAAATAAATAAAAATGTGTACAGAATACTCTCAAAATAGTCTAAAGGGCAACCATTGTACATTTCACTTGTATTTAAGTGCAAATCAGCATATTAGAATGATTGGTGAAGGATCATGTGACACTCATGATGCTGAAAATGCAGCTTTGCATCACAGGAATAAATTACATTTTAAAATATATTCAAATAGAAAAAAGTCATTTGAAATTGTAATAATATTTCACAATATTGCTGTTTTTGCTGTCGTTTTTTTAAATATATAAAATAAATACAGCCTTGCTGAGTATTTGAAAACCATTAGAAAATCGTAATTATTCCAAACCTTCGACCAGAAGTGTAAATTTAATGTAAATCTCACATGTTGACAGGACCCGGAGAACAGTTCTGACCTGGAAGCGGTTGCTCCATTCCTGCTGGGTCAGAAACCAGACGTTCAGACACACAAAGCGATCGCTCAGCCACCCATTACCAAGTAAGAGCAGCATCTCACTTATTGAGCCACACAGACACAAGATATGGAGATATTACACATAATATGTGAAAAATATGTGACTTTTAGTGATGTCCGGTTCGCGAACGAATCGTTCTTTTTAACCGGTTCTTTTCAGTGAACCGGTCGAACCAGTTCACCAAATCGGTCTGAATCGTTCGAAACAGTTCGCATCTCCAGTAAGCAAACACTAAGCCACATTTACTAAAGTTACTCACTTTTTGACGTGCCTGACACTCCCTCTGACTCGAAATAAACCAACATCCCGGAGTTATTCTGTTAGTCCAACAGTTCACTGACTTAACCTGCTGTAAAGAGAGAACTGATGATGATGATGAGCACGAGCAGGTGATACTGCTGAGTGAGCATGCGCGGCGCACACAAATGAACGTACACGGCCTGTCACGGTTCTCGTTCTCGAGTCAAGAATCGGTTGCAATGGTTTTCGGATCATCAGTACACAACCGAGAACTGTTTCTTTCGGACATGTCCGATTTGAGAACCGACCCAGATAGCAAAATTGCTGTGGCCCAGATCCAGCCCACACCTGACACTTTCATCTGGCCCACTTTTGGCATGGAATGATGGCACTTGGGCGGTCCGCTCCTGTTTCCCAGATATGGGCCACAAGGAAGCCATAGCAATGCTGCATGTCAGCCTAGAACAAAACAAATAAAGTAGAACTGGCCCAAATCTGGGCAACAGTTCATTTTAATTCTGGCCCAGATCCAACACCTTGCTCTGGCCCACATACCACGTGGAATGATGGCAATTATATGGCCCGCTCCTGATTGCCATGTTTGGGTCTCAAGGAAGCCTTAGCAAAGCCACATGTAACCCAACAACAAACCACATAAACCACACCTGACCCTAATGTGGGCCACAGATAATTTTTTTATACAAACCCTGGTCTTTCCCACATTCCTCATGTGGCCCACATGTAGCATGGAATGCTGGAACTTTGACAATGCATTCCTGTTTGCCTGTTCTGGTCCACAAGCGGGCCATTGTACAGACACATGTTAGCTAAGAATGAAATTCAATAATAATGGAAATTCAGTGACTGAATATCAATGACATCAAGTGAGTTCTGCATCAACAATATTCAACATACAGTAAAGAGAAATGTAAAAATGGCCTACCTAAATATTAAGATAAGTTACAACAGATGATCCAAACACATTTCTGAAAAAAATGCATCATTTATTAACATTGCCAATAAAAAACCCATTGCATAATTACATTTCCAAAACTGGGAAGCAATCTAAACATGAAAAAACAGAAACAGAACAATAAACAAAATAGGTGTATAGAAAATATTGTAGAAACTAAGACAGAAACCAGACGTTCAGACACACAAAGCGATCGCTCAGCCACCCATTACCAAGTAAGAGCAGCATCTCACTTATTGAGCCACACAGACACAAGATATGGAGATATTACACATAATATGTGAAAAATATGTGACTTTTAGTGATGTCCGGTTCGCGAACGAATCGTTCTTTTTAACCGGTTCTTTTCAGTGAACCGGTCGAACCAGTTCACCAAATCGGTCTGAATCGTTCGAAACAGTTCGCATCTCCAGTAAGCAAACACTAAGCCACATTTACTAAAGTTACTCACTTTTTGACGTGCCTGACACTCCCTCTGACTCGAAATAAACCAACATCCCGGAGTTATTCTGTTAGTCCAACAGTTCACTGACTTAACCTGCTGTAAAGAGAGAACTGATGATGATGATGAGCACGAGCAGCTGATACTGCTGAGTGAGCATGCGCGGCGCACACGAATGAACGTACACGGCCTGTCACGGTTCTCGTTCTCGAGTCAAGAATCGGTTGCAATGGTTTTCGGATCATCAGTACACAACCGAGAACTGTTTCTTTCGGACATGTCCGATTTGAGAACCGATGAACCGATGATACTGCGCATGCGTGTAGTTTTCCAAGAGAACGAAAAGTACATTAGTCAAGTTTTGTTGTACATCGGAAAGTGTGATAATATAAAACATACTCACAAATCTTTTTAAGTTCAGCTGCCAGATTGTCAGCAGTATGCCTCTCTGTAAATGAGAAGCAGTCCAGAAGAAATGATGAAAGTGTAAAACTTTCATCAATGAAATGACAAGTGACTGCCATAAAACTAGTAGTTGTCCTTGATGTCCAGCAATCAGTGGTCAGACACACAGCTGAAGCTTTGCTGACTTTCACCATCACCTCTTCTTTAATTTTGCTGTAGAGCTGTGGTACCAGATTGTTTACTTAATTACAAATAAACCGTAATGGATTATACATAGTAAGTGGAGCATAGTTTCTGCGCTGATGAAGACTAATTTATTGACGTCATAACTGTAAAACATCCTAGTTTGCAGATCACTGCCTGTATATGTGTTGATGCTTTAGATACAAAAATCCAAATTGTAAGAAACGTATCAGATTATAATGATGTTTTAATTGACTGATGTTATGATTACTGACTTTATATTTGAATGTGTTAAGCCCGCGATAGACTTGACGCCATTACGTCATCGCCAATGACGTCATTACGTCGAGCGTAAAAGAACCGGTGAACCGGTTTTTTCAACCGGTTTATTGAATCGAACTGTCCGAAAGAACCGGTTCGCGGAAAAGAACCGAACTTCCCATCACTAGTGACTTTATTTTGTTAACACTTGCTCCTGGTCTTATTGTGCATCATTCAGGCATGACTATGAGGCAGAGGACTCTTCTCTGATAGATGAGGCGGATCGACCTTTGACCCGCGAAGAACTCCGTCAGCACATTATGAGGAAGAGTGTAAGGAACACAGAAGAGCTCTTTCCTATTCTGATTTACCCATTAACTATGGTTGCATTACAGTTAAAGGGTGTTTGTTGGTTATCTGTTGCAGGACCAGCATAAAGACGAGTCTCCGCGTACAGCAGGGAGCAAAGAATTGAAAACCCCTAAGAGCAGCACCATATCCAGCACCTCGCTGGAGGCTTAAGACGCAATCTGGTCTTCTGGTTATTATTTTATTCTGTGCTCAGTCTCTACTATATATTGTTTATAGTAATGAATTGATGGGGGATAAAAAGGAATCTTAATGCTTGAAGGATTTGTGTCTCTTTGAAATAAATAACATAAAATAAACTATATTCTTAACTCAATTCATGTTTCCATTAAAGACCTCAAAATTGCATATCGCATAGGAATTCACCCAGATTTTTTAGCCAGGAGATTTCTAACGGTAGTGCATTATGTTCCATTTTCTGCAGCTCATCCTCTAGTACATGTCTTTTACTTTTATATGCTATGCAGTGTATAAGAATCTGTTCAACTGTTTCTGGTTCATTACATTTAAAGCGGTCATATGATGCGATTTCAAGTTTTCCTTTCTCTTTGAGAGCGAGAGAGACCAGCTTCATCACTGTGTCTGTCACGCGACTCTGTTCCCCTTTCGGGCTCTGTCTTTACATTTATTTTGAAAGCTGAAGCTCGCGATTATGGTAAGGGGCGTTATATTTCCGACGAGTGCTTGCAGTGTTCGGCCAATCACAATGCACTGGGTCAGCTGGCCAATCAGAGCAGACTGCGCTTGTCGGAAGGAGGGACTTTGTAGAAAACGAAGCGTTTGAGAGAGGCGGGGCATAGAGGACCTACAATAATGTACAGTATTTGAAAAAGAATGTGTTTTTTGAACATTAAAGCATGTCAACATATTCTGTTACACCAAATACACAAAATAATGATCTTTAAAAAAGCATCATATGACCCCTTTAAGTTTAGCTGGTTTGAAACTCGACCCCTTTTTAACCCTCTCCATTTTTTTTTGCAAAATGTTTTGTGCACACGGCCCACCGGGTTATCATGGCAACTCCCCCCTTTTTATGACAGCCAAAGCTCATTTTCTCATACTAGCAACAGCTTGCTCTCACCCACTCACAAGGACCGCCCACACTGCAAAAATCGGCCAATCAGAAATCACGCTGACCAAAAAAGAAAAACAGTGACTGGCTGCTAGAACTTAGATTTGTACTATCATGCCATTTTATCTCATCCTTCCTCTGCTCTTTTTCTTCCCATGATGCATTAGGTTTTTTCTTCTCTCTTCTCTTTTCAAAACTAGAATGTAAGCCATTAGTAGTGTTTGCAAATACAAACATTGCGATTACTGAAGGTTAGTGACTGAAAAGTAAATTGATTCTTTTATTCCACAAAGTCACATTCAATTGATTAAAAGTGACAGTACATACATTTATAATGTTACAAAGGATATCTATTTCAAATAAATGCTTTTAATTTAACTTTCTGGTCACTAAAGTATTGTGAAAAAAATGTATCGCGGTTTCCACAAATAATATTAAGCAGCAAAAAACTTTTCAACATTGATAATAATTATTAATCATTACTAACAATTGAGCACCAGTAATTGATAATAACTGAGCAGGATATTAGCATATTAGAATTATTTCTGAAAGCTAATGTGACTGAAGACTGGAGTGATAATGCTGAAAATTCAGCTTTGTTTCACAGGAATAAATTACATTTTAAAACATTACAACAGGAAGTAGTTATTTGAAATTCTAATAATATTTCGCAACATTACTGTTTTTACTGTATTTTGGATTAAATAAATGCAGCTTTGGTGAAAATAAATATTAATTATTCCAAACGTTTGACTAGTGTACATGGTGGTTTTGTATGTTCATTTGAGATTTCCTGCCGACAATGAATTTATTAATTGTCTTATTGCTTTCAAACTACTGTACTAATACATTTTTTGCCACACCAGTGCAATGGACCATGAAGAATAGAGAAGCACAACAAAAACACACAGGACATAGTTGTGAATCCACATTTGAAGATTTAAAGAAACATGCCTCTAAAAACTCTGTCTGTAATCTATGCCAACGTAAGGCAAAATCTTAAGTTTACTCCCATCCCCATATGGATCCAGGGTGATGGACTGAGTCCAGTCATACCAGTTATTCCGGTTATCGTAACAGCCATTCACACCATGCCATCGCTGACTGCGTATCCTGACGAGGTCTCGCTTGGTGACCTCTCGGCTGACCCCTGGAAGGTCTGTCACAGGGAACTCTGGTATAAACCCATGAGTTTTTCTGCACTCTTTGGAGTTCTTTATCTGTTGCTTGATGTTCGCAACCACAGAAATGCTCATCCCTGACTTTTCTGAAATCAGTAAGCTATTCTGAATCATCTTACTTTGTGACATCTCTCTGCAGTTTGTCTGCTGGAATGAACGAAGGCTGTTTTTCAGATGCTCACTGTCCTGGATTTCACTTCCTGTTGATCTCTGGCAAGCTTTTGTAAATGTTTTGCTTGAAATAGCTTTGATTTGTTGAGTGTGAGGGTCGTATGCTAGTTTGCCCGCTTGCAGTTGTGCCGTTTTGGTACTGTCCTCTCCGTCGAGTTTGACAGTGTGACCGTTATGCTCTTTCTTCCTCGTCTTATCCTCAAAACCCCTTATGTTTGTGTCTGTCACTGTGCTGGAGACCTCATCAAGATTACTGTTTAGTGTAGCAGGTTTGAGTGTGTTGAGGAGGTCTGAAGGCTGTTGCAGCTTTATGTATGAATCCTGGATGGATGAATTTGGTGGATTAGAAGTAATGGAAGTGGATTGTGCTGGTTCCTTGGCCACCAAAAAGTTCTTTTCATTGCTGTGACTGGCAGAGGCAGTGTTTCTTTCAGACTTGTGCTGGTCTTCGATAATGGTACTTTGGGAATGAAGATTGGGCAGAGATGTTCTCCAGCTTGTGGACTGTTGTAAATGCTTGATGGACGAGGAATATGGTTTGATTGCACGGACAGGTATTTTACTCTTTCTAAAATTGTTTGGATGTTTAATGGTTTTATCTGGTACAGAACCCTGAGACATTTCAGCCCTCTCACTCATGGTACTGTGAAAAAGAGTTCTGCTGTAATTTACAGTAAGGGTTTGTGTTGATCCAGGAATGCATTCAGCAGAAATCGAATTATCTGCAAAACTTGAGAGCTCTTTTGCTGTGACTTCGTTTACTTCAACCAGACTCTGCCAACGTCGTATAAGATTTTTTAAACGTTTAACAAGATCTTCATCTGTGCTCCTTTTTCTCATATCATTGATCAACTTTCCAAGCCTGGTTTCCTGGAATACAACAAAACCAAATCATCTCCTAAGGAAGCTTTTTTTTTTTTAAGACATTAATGCATTAAACAGTAGCTGCCCAGTGTGTGTGTGTGTGTGTGTGTGTGTGTAGGTATTTTACTCTTTCTAAAATTGTTTGGATGTTTAATGGTTTTATCTGGTACAGAACCCTGAGACATTTCAGCCCTCTCACTCATGGTACTGTGAAAAAGAGTTCTGCTGTAATTTACAGTAAGGGTTTGTGTTGATCCAGGAATGCATTCAGCAGAAATCGAATTATCTGCAAAACTTGAGAGCTCTTTTGCTGTGACTTCGTTTACTTCAACCAGACTCTGCCAACGTCGTATAAGATTTTTTAAACGTTTAACAAGATCTTCATCTGTGCTCCTTTTTCTCATATCATTGATCAACTTTCCAAGCCTGGTTTCCTGGAATACAACAAAACCAAATCATCTCTTAAGGAAGCTTTTTTTTTTTTTAAGACATTAATGCATTAAACAGTAGCTGCCCAGTGTGTGTGTGTGTGTGTGTGTGTTTTTCATTCTATGGAAGTCAATGGAGATCAGTAACTGTTACCAACATTCTTCCAAGTTTCTTCTCTTACGTTCAGCAGAAGAAATAAACTCATACAGGTTTGGAACAACTTGAGGGCGAGTAAATTATGCTTTTTGGGTGAACCATCCTTTTAATTCACATTTTCATTGTGACACACTATACCACAGTTTTTGGGATAAATTTAATGTAAATATAGTGAGTTAGTATCTTACCACTAGAGCCTCTTTAGTCATGGGGTATTTTTCCAGGCAGCATATCACATCCAATACAGCCATCGTGTTCTGTATCTGCTGACAGATAGAAGTTAAGCTCATGTCACTTCCATGCTTTCATAATATTCTCTGTGCATTAAATAACCTATAACGGTTAATGCTTAGCGAGTCACTTCCTGTCTCTTTTTCTGAGGCTGGTCATACTCATGAAAGTAGATGGGCCTCATGTATTTGAATCTGCTCTCACATGTGCACCTGCAGCAGTGACTCTTTCAGATCCCAGTTAACAGTTGTGTTTGCAAATGCAAATGTGACATGCTTGCATACTCATTCCAATAAAAATCAGTGAAAAAAGTCCCCAGGGAGTTACATAATAAAAATGAACCTCACCACTTTGAGACTGAGCAAACCAGCAGATTCAACAGACTAATTAAGGAATGAAAAAATCTTGACTATGGGATACATATTACACAGACATTGGCAAAATGGACATTAATATAAAAAATTGATCAAGAATACATAATACAGTCAAAAAAAGTTGAAATACTCCAATTATTGCTTTCCTAATATTCTCCACACAAAGCAAGCACATAAAGTGCTGAAAGAATGGATAGAAATTGCAATATAGTTCAATTGCAATAATTAAATGAAGTGACAGTTACTGCTAATGATGCACACGCAGCATGGGTACAAAACCATAAAAGACTGTAGTCATTACTTTGGTCTATAACTCAGCTTTTACTCACACTATTTTGAGCATCGATGGCCTGAAGGAGCTGCTCTTTCAGTTGATGAGGTCTTGATGAAGCTCTTTTCATTGTCTTTGAAAAAACATCCACTGAAAGATTCGCTGCATTAGGAACACATACTTACAAAACTCTTCAAACATGCACACTTCTCTCATATGAAACCACTTTACTGCCAGCCCCATATGAGCTCAACTATCCGTGTCCATGCATGCAGGCAAATGAACAAACTGTCCCTTAAAGGGTCCTACAGGTGCAATACAGTACTGTTTTCACATAGGCTTACTGAGTTAGCCATGAGTGTCAATTACAACCATATTTGAATCCAAGAAACTATGCTTCAGCAGTTTTTAGTTATACACATACCATTTTTATGAGCTCACATTTAATGACAGAATACTTTTAAAAGATCATTTTTCCACATATACATATTATATCTCCATGGTCTTTGTTTCTTTTTCAACAAGTTCAAATGTTTTGTTTCTGCCCATTGACACAGTTTTACTGTGCAGTTGGGACAAATAACACAACATTCACCAACTAAAAT